AGCCGAGCCAACCCTAGGAAAAAAACAACCTGGGACCCCAAATAAACCCTAAACCCTAAACAAAACCCGAAACCCAACCTTCACCCCAACCCACCCTGCCCCCAAATCCTGACTGATGAACCCTGAACCCACCCTAAACCCAAAATAAACCCTAACCCCACCCTAAACCCAGGCCTCTTCCTGGCCTTGCCTGCCATTTCGACAGTGTCAAGCGCCAAGCTTTCGAACGGCAGGCCTCACATAGTCTAAACTCCCTAACGGGGGGGTTATATGAAGGACTATATAGGGTTTCGGGTTTAGGGGTCTAAACTCCTTGAATAGGGTTATCTAAGGGATTATACTGAGGACTACTCTGGCGGCTATGAAGGAGGATGCTAGGAGTGTAAACAGTAGCTCAAATGGAGGTTGCGGGTTGTTTCCAGGGAAGGTCAAGGAGATACAGGGAATAACCCAGACCCCGTAAAGGATCCAACAAATGGAACCCCCTCATATTCTTCCTGTTGCGCCAATGTAGTAATGGGTTCATATTGGGGGGGTTCATTTTTTGGATCCTTTAGGGGGTCTGGGAATATACAACATACTACAACATGATGCAGTGACTACTTTAGGAACTCGCCCCTGCAGTCCCTGCTTGGGTAGTTCTCGAAATTATGGGCCCCTTTTTGGGGTATAGATTGTATTATGGCACCTAATATTTAAGGGCGCCACCATGGGACCCCAATTTTGGGAACTACTCACTTACCACCAGTACGTGAGGCAGGTTGGGCGCAACATTGCTTCTGATGGAGGGCTCTATACGGTAAGGAAGCAGATTCCATCTTGAGGGGAGGGCCATGATTCTGTCCGCAAAAGCCGTGCTCTCGTCTTTCGGTTGGTATATCTTGACCATCCAAATCAACCATGAGTTTTCCATGAACTACGCTGGCAATACCGAGAACTGACCATCCACCGATGTTTTGGGGCGGTGTGGACAGTCAACCCCTACCCAAAGGGTCCACGTAGTTATATAGTATATACTCAGGGTTCAAAGGGCTTCCCGTATAACTACTCTAGGACTCAAGGTGGCCCAAGTCTGCAACCCACCCCCCTAGCGTTACAGACCTGTGTCCCGGCCGCGTGTAGCGGAAACCTCCACAAATCACCTTCCCGCAAAATTTGGGGTCTGCCGCGGGAATCGGTTGCATGAGCGGTCTTTCTTCTACACGCCCTCATGAATAACCCTAGTAAGGACCCCTATGTAGCGCTGGGGTCCCTTAGGGGCCCTCGCGTTGAAAATTTAACATGTCGGTATAGGACCTCGGTGCAGAAACACAACTCGCAAAAATTGCACGAAATCGGTGACCGAATACGACGACATGCTGGTCCGTCCTCAACTGTGGCTATCATGAGCGCGTTTGTGCTGAAATCTGGTGAAGCCCCTTGCTGCTGACAAGGTACGCAAGTGGGCACCATAGGCCGCCTCGCGGATGGGTTGCAACATCCGCTGCAGCACCTCTTCGATAGCCGATGGTCAGGGCAGAGAAAATTCCAACTTGATTTCTTAAAGGTGCAGGCAAACATGTTGCTGGCCCCTCATGGTCTACGCCATGAGACAGAAGAGCAGGAAGACCACAATTATATTACTTCCAACATCCCTTGGTGACATGCGAGGTCGGGCACTTTAGAAAGGTGGCCGATTGGGCGAGGGGAACACGTCTTCTTGAAAAAACGAACAACCCCACATCGAAAACGCCTGGCAAAATAGCAGCCAAAGAAAGCAAGCAACAAGTCGATCACGTTTGGTTGAGCCACTGGTAGGCAGACGACGCGAAAGTTGTCTCTGCTGACAGTCACCTCCGAAGATGTCTTGGGTTTGTTTCTCCAAGGAGGGTAACCATAGGCTCCTTTAGATACACAGGGACGAGAAGAGATTATGCAGGTCGGTCTGAATGATAGCCAATATTCACCACTAGATATCTTAAGAAACTGCCATGTGGCAGAAGTGGCAAATCGTTTATTGAAACTTAAACCACAAAACACACGTACCATGCTGACAACTTAGGGGGGTTTCCCGCAAATTAGGGATATATTACCCCAATGATCGAGAATCACGTGGAAATAAATCAAGGAAAGTTTAATGGAAACTAGGATTGTAGAGTAGTTTACAGGCATCAGGGTTTCCTCAAATAAAGGGTACCATTGGAGGTCCCAATGCTAAGAATCATTGTATTTTGGGGTCTATGTTGGTTCCGCATATTTGCAAAACTGCCAGGCGCTGCATGGGATGGCTGAACGCAAACATCCTGCATATCTGCCATGAATTGTCTCAGCAATGGGGCTTGAGCGGATTGCAAGGGTTGCCCTGCGATGGCCAGCAACCCAAAATACTGTAGCATGGTGGAAACAAGAAAGACACCCCAAAACTGGCACTGAAAGCACAGCAACCGCCACAACACCAACATTCATAGCAATGCCAGCAGTACTCGCAAATTGTACTCAAACACATCATTGAAACATGGCAATGTGAGTTGGACAAATCGGCGCGATGCCTGCAGTCCTTCGCATATGTTTGATGAACATGGAAGTTGCTGAGAGCTTACAATAGGAAACGACGTAATTAATATAATACTATAGTACTCAGACCACGAGGCATGCGCATGTTGCTAGCGGATCCACTTGCGGTGCAAGGACTTCACATGCAGGTCAGACCACAGAATATGAATCGGCTGCTGCTACGTATGGTCTCCCTGAACAGAGCATGGCCCATCCAAATTACAGCTGTTTCCCGGCGCAGTGTCACGGGATCATGGCATGGACAGTGTTCAGGTAAAATATGCTTACTCATGTGCGCTATCATCCCTTCAGCACCAAAGCACAAGTACAATGCCAATTAATTTCAAAGAGCGATGTGTGTATGCAGTAATCGCAGCGCCCTTTTTTGAGGCCCATAATCCCAATCTTCGAAAGAGCGTTCAGTAGGCCACAGGGCAGCCAATTGATGTATGGTTTTCTTTGTTGTCCAGGCTAATGGTCATTTAAAAATTGGTGGCCGTGCTATCGCTTTCCAAGCTTCTGAGTTGTTGTTGACTTTATCTTTTGGTATATGTGGGTATCATTTTCCAAGCAAAAACACTCCGTGTAGAGTCCAATGTCTTGTCCATCCTTTTCATACCTCTTCTGGCGCACAAAGCAACCTCTTGATACGTGGGATAATATACCATAAGATACTATACCCCAATATCGGGATAATGGAACAGAAAAGGAAAACTACTATAATAAGGACAAAATTGGGGTGATACCGCGCAGCAATTACATTCTCCATCTGGCTCATCTGAGTCGTCGGGGACCTGAATGCCTTTGACGCCCTAATGTCTTGCAAGAGATAAACTGGGTTTAGGACCTGAGGGTTTAGGGCATGATCCCAGAGAGGCTTTCAATATACCTTCAATAAGGAATACCCCCTCATTGAATATGGTAGCTAGTATATACATTAGGGGGGTGCGGTGGCGCGTGTGTTATGGGGGCAAGAGATTCGTTGCTAGGCACGAGGTCCCTAGAATCCGCAACCCAAATCGAAGGCTCGAAGGCTATTGATACCCATTTTGATCATCCAAAACCTGAAGCCCCAAAGCTTATAGCTATACTCATGAGCCCATTTAAACCAATCAGCTGGTGAGGCCTTGAGATCGCCGATGCTAAGCTCAGCAGTCTCGCTGCTTGACAGCCTCTCCTTTGCCTGCGTGGCATAACTAGTGCTTCCACGGCTGCGGTCTTTGCGAGAATAATTTGGAATTACAGTGAATTTTGGCCCTCCCCCCGCCCCTGCCTGATTCGCAGAGACTATAAAAATCTTGGAACCAGAGCATCCTTCATGAGACTAGCCACTGTTTTGCTCTTCAGAGGCAACTCCAAACAACCCTGGACTTCTGTCCGGAACCAGGACGATTTCGCATGCGTGTCCATGATACTGAAGCAATCCCTTTGGGCCCCATAGTAAAATAATGGTTTCCATTTTCTTTCCCATTAATCCTATAAAGCCCCAATATAATATAGTAGTTTCCATTTTCTTTTCCATTATCCCTAAGGGGGACTATATGCAAAGTAATAGTAGCAGTAATAGTACTCCCTGAAGGCAGCGGTGCCTTGCGAGCCTGCAGCAGAAGGTTCTGCCTTTGTGCAGCAGGCACAGGCCACTTCCTCAGGCGACAGCTGCACGACACTTTGGACATGAGCTATAGTCTAAACTCCTTAATGGGGGTTATATAGGGGATTATATAGGGGACTACTATAGGGGTGTTTAAGGGGGATACTAGGAGTTTAGACAATGGGTTACATGAGGGTCCATCAGCAGCGGGATGGGCATCATAGTGTGGTACCCAGAGCTCGATGCAGGGTAGCTTCCAGGAACTGTGCGCATTCCAAAATACACCTGAACCCAGTTGCATTATGTCAGGCAAGTGGCCTCTGCTTTGCCAGCTCTGGTTTCAACTCTTTCAGGACCCAGTCCTTGTTCTGCGAGCATCACACAGGCTCCATGAGGCACATCATTGGGTGATGATAGGTACAACATGTAGTGAATCCCCCAGCTCCTCAGCTCCCCCCTCATGTGTCAAAGGCCGCGCAGCCAAACAAGGCTAGCTGGTGATATCCGGCTGTCCAAGCTGAGAATCAACGATTGCGATGTCGAAGTCATCGCCGCCGAGCCGCTCGTCACCGCTAGTGAAGAGCCTTTGCTCATGATGCCGGAAATTATTGTAAAAAGTACTTCACGCAGGATCGTCTCCCCAAGCTGCAAGAACTCACACTCTCTCTTTGAAGTAATCAATTCAGGCAAGGGGCATATGGATCTCATCCCACTCCACCCACTTCCGAACAATGCAGACATCAAAGGTTCCACCACCAAGGTCAGCTACCATGATATGCTTCAGGGTGGGGTCCCGCTGCTTCATCTGCACTGCCTGAGGCTTTCTCAGCTTGCTGGCAAGAGCGGTGCACTGGAAGGGCGCCCTTCGTTTGTACTGTTTATGCAATTTCTCAAATGACTGTGCAGGGCAACGTGGATGTAGTCTTCGTTGAAAACATTGAATTCCAGCATCTCATACGGCGCCAAGGCTCCATATGCTGCGTGAAGTCCGCTTGCGAAGCCGCATACGGATCCTCTTCAACTCCTTGGCTCTCAGCCAAAGCATGCACTGAATAGACGCCTGTCCAGTATAGTCGAAACAAGGTTGCCTAAGATTTAAATTTCATTAATTATGTAGGGTGCATGTATATTATGTCACATACGTGTCACGAAGACGAAGGAGAAGTGACTGCGGTACGGGAACGCTAGATAGACTAACACTCGTGCCCAACATCATGCGGATGTTCTTGTAATACTTCTTATACGCGGCTGGCTTCCGGTAGCACGCAATCTGCAACAATCCCCGAATCCCCAGAATAGCCCCCATGGCAGTCATCCCTACATCAGATAACACCACCCCCAAAGAAAATAATGTATGTAAGCCTTAATTACTACCTGCTGTAGTCACAAACTCCATACAGCTTGTGTACATCCCCCAAGAAGCTGTGCCATTCATTTGGGGAGCTGCAAGCCACAAGCCCCAAGACCATGCACACAAACTGCTTATATGGGGCTTTCCCGAAATTAGGGGTACCCTTTTGGGGTCCTCTGAATAAGGAACATAATATTTGGAGGTCTATATTCGGGTCCCCTTACTTAGGGACACTACCATACGTCTACAGTCTACAGAGGATATACTGCAAACACCCCCTACAACATCTTAGACAGGTACCTGTCGATGTGCGTCAGCATATCTCAGAACCCCCTACATCAGCTTAAAAAGTACTACGCTTACTCCAGAACCCCTCAAAACAAGACCCAGAATAATAGTAGCCATACCAAGAGTAGCAGCCAAATAGCGGCAGTACTACCGATAGTAGTGGGGTAGTACTCACAACAATAATCTTATTCAGCAGTGGTAAGAGAAACAAAGTACTACCCAAAATCTCGAAGAGTGACACTCATGGCGTTTTTGACGTTCTTAAAAAGTTTCGGGCAATTATTGTACCTTTACGGAGTTCACCCTATAAACCCTATACACCGACGGGAACCATACACCCTGCACACTTAACAGTAAGAGCCCGGGCTTCGCTGTTGGAGCTCATCCAATTCAATGTTGCCCTGAAGGCCCTGCGGTTTCGGGCCCAGGTTCCCACCTCCTGCTTAGGGTTTCGGGCTTAAGGGTTTAGGGCTTATGAAGGTTTAGAATGGGGATTATGCAGGGATTAGGGTTGAGAACTTAGGGCTTAAGATTCTTAGGGCTTAGAATGGTGTAAGCAGGTTTTAAGGTTGCTGTCTGAGGGTTCATAAATCATAATTGGGCTTATACATGGGGTGTATGCAGGGATGAGGGTTGAGATCTTGGGGTACATAATTGGGTTTATAGAGGGACGAGGGTTCAGGCCTTAGTTTTAGGGTTAAGAATGCGATTTTACACGGGGTTTAGGTCATAAGCTTAATCATGGGGGTTCCACAGGGATGAGAATTCAAGTCTTTGATTTTACAATGGGGTTCACACAGGGTTTGGGGATGATTGGGGTTTGCGACGAGACAGGATTACGGGCATGGAATTAAAGGATTTCCAGGGCTGTTTTAACTTGTGTAGGCCTTTGGTGATTAAACCTAGTAAGATTATATTCCTCTTATAGGACACTTTACTCAGAAGGAGGATATCATCTTACAATATATTGGGCACCATCGTATCCTCAAATACAATACTACTCACTTGAGGTTGCGGAAACCCTAAACCCTATATGACCCATTATAGTAGTTTCCGTTTTCTTTTCCACCATCCCCATATAACCCCAATATATACACCCATAATCCCTACATAACCCCTAAGTAATCCCTATAATCCCTGTAGCTTCCATTTTCTTTTCCATTATCCCCATTTAGCTTCCATTTTCTTGTCCATATTGAGCTCCCGCTAACCAGG